TATGTTTCTATTTGGGGGGGGGGGGGGGGATGGATTTGCTTTCGCCCTTTGTTCCGTTACTGTAAATATATTTTTACTAGTTTATTTTTTTCCTTTTTTCTAACCAGGAATTTCTATGTGTGAAATAAAAACTAAACTTTTTTTAGCATGCTTGTGCAATTCTTGAGGATGATTTATACTCCAACGGCTGCTAATTTAGTATACGCTAACACTATTCGGGAAATATTTGTTTTTACATTTCAAGTTGCCGTCGTAGGATTGGCACCCATGAACCTGTTCTACTCACAGAGGAAATCCTTATGTGTTCATGTGTTTATATTATGTTTTATTTGTTTTACGTTTTTTAATATATTTACATTTTAAATGCATTTTAATGTTTGAAATGCTTTAATGTTTGCCGCTTTGAGGACCCTGGACTAGGTGGAAAGGCAGCGTGAAAATGATTTCGATAAATAAATAAAATTGGGATAGGAGTCGAGAGGAGTGTTTGAGAAATCACTTAAAAAAATAAATCCAGGTGGTCAGCTGTGTTTGAACCTTTACCTTCCTCCCAGTCTATTTGAAAAAGTGTGCGTGTGCACGAAAGCTCATACCTTGAATAAAACTTTGTTGGTCTTAAAGGTGCCCCTGGACTCTAAATTTGTTTTAAAAAATAAAACAGCTTTTAAATTGTTTTAGGGACAGGTGGATACTAGCCATGTTGTTCTGAAGCAATAGAACAAAGTTTGAGTCCGGAGGCACCTTTAAGAGTTTTATTCTGGGCATATGGTTTCATATGCATGCACACTTCTTTAGATGCCTGAAGAAGTGTGCATGCACAGGAAAGCTTATTCCCAGAATAAAACGCTGTTGGTCTTAAAGGTGCCTCCGGACTCAAACCTTGTTCTGTCTGCAGGACAGTTTTGCTATGATGACTAAACCTGTAGCTCTTCACTTTCCCCTATAGGTGGCAGCAGACAACTTTTCCTTTGTGGTGGGGGGGCTGGAAAAAGGAGTTTCCTCATTGAGGTCTGTTAACTTGGGGTCTTGACCAGGGTGTGCCTTCCTCAACCAAGGAAAACTGGGAACTGGTAGATCCATTTTTACCTCACGCTGAGATCTCGGGGGCGGGTTTCTTTTCATTGTGGCTCCTTCCGCAAGCTCTCCTTACGTGTCGGTATTCCTGTCCGAACAGGTGTGATCACGTTAAGCGACTGGGCCACCGCTGTCGAGTCGGTCCTCCATTTGGGGCTGCCCTGGCGGATGCTGCGGCAGCAGCTGGTGCCCCGCCTCATCGGTGGGAAGTTGGACTACAACCATTGGCTGAGACACATCGCGATGGAGCAGAAGTCAACAAGCCAGGAGGTAACAAAACGCGCCGTCAGAGGTCCAAGTGAAGACGACAGAAATGTCTGAGACCGTAGCAGGAGGATCTTCTGATCTGGCGTATCAGAGAACCTTCCAGAAGGAATGTTCACTTCCTGAGAACTCTGAGGGAGCCAACAGAGAAGCTGCTAGAGAGAGCGGCAGAGTACAGCGGTAGCGTGTAGCCTTCCTCACGTGCTCTTTCCTAGAGAGATACAGAATCCCAGAGTTGGAAGGGGCCATAGAGGACATCTCGTCCAACCCCCTGCTCAATGCAGGATCAGCCTAGAGCATCCCTGACCAGTGTCTGTCCAGCCGCTGCTTGAAGACTGCCAGGGAGGGGGAGCTCACCACCTCCATAGGCAGCCGATTCCACTGTGGCACAACTCTGACTGTCAATTTCCCCCCCTAATATACAGTCGGTACCTTCCTGCTCCTAATTTAAACCCATGATTGCAAGTCAGAGTGGCACAGTACAGTTCCACTGCTGAACTACTCTTAACTGCAAAAAAAATCTTCCTAATATCCAGCCAGTACCTTCCCGCCCTTAATTTAAGCCTATTCTTGCGAGTCCTGTCCTCTGCTGCCAACAGGAACCGCTCCCTGCCCTCCTCCAAGTGACAGCCCTTCCAATACTTAGAGAGAGCAATCGTGTCCTCCTTCAACCTCCTCTTCTGCGGGCTGAACATTCCCAAGTCCCTCACCCTTTCGTCGTAGGGCTTCTTGGTCTGCAGGCCCCCGATCATCCTTGTCGCTCTCCTCTGCACCCGCCCCATTCTGTCCACATCCTTTTGGAGAGTGAGGCCTCCAGAACTGCACACAATACTCCAGCTGCGGCCTGACCAGTGCAATGTACAGCAGGACTATCTGGGAATCTGCTGCTGCAGCCCATCATCAACAAGGGTAGCATTTCTGGGTATTATTATGAAGAAGTTAAATGTGTCATGGAAGAGATGCGTCCTTCCAAGGAGGAAGGGGCTATGGCTCAGGGACAGAGACTCTTGTTTTGCACGCAGAAGGCCCGAGGTTCAGGCCCCTGCATCTCCAATGAGAAGGATCAGGTAGTAGGTGAGGTGCAAGATCTCCACCTGAGATCTCAGAGAGCCCCTTCCAGACCAAGGAGACAAGGCTGACCTTGAGACCACTGGTCTGGCACAGTAGAAGGCAGCTTCGCCTGAGAATTGTCCCAGGTTAGCTTCCTTCTCGCAGAGAACTTACGATGTAGAAGTTGTGTAGTCCCAATCATTGCACTGACCAAGATAATGGGAATGTGGGGGACACTTGAAGCGGCCTTCTACTGAATCAGACCCTCAGTCCATCAAGGTCAGGATTGTCTACTCAGACTGGCAGCGGCTCTCCAGGGTCTCAGGCGGAGGTCTTTCCCATCACCAACTGCCTGGTCCTTTTCACAGGAGATGCTGGGGACTGAACCTGGGACCTTCCGCATGCCAAGCGGAAGGTGTACCATTGAATAATAATAATAATAATACTTCCCATTTATTAATCGCTTTCCCCAGTGGGCTCAAAGCGATGTACAGTTACTCCATATATAGACAAGGGACTAACAATGTTCGTAGGGGATAGGGAAGACAACATATATTGACTTTAATTGCACGCGCCGTCACTGCCTGGTGTAGACGTCTTCTGGCTGGCTCCGTCATTTTCCCACACGGCTGCTTGCTGGCCAGGCCTCAGGACCCGTATGTCAATCACCACACTGCCACCGCCTGGCCGGAACATCCATCGCAGGCGTTCTTTTTCGTAGCCGGGAAGCTGTTTTGCCTTTTACAAGCCTTGACCAGGAGCTCTGACCGTCAGCTAACTCCCTCCCAGAAGGGAGGTTGGTGTGCCCACCCTCGCTAAGGAGTGGTTCCCATTTTATCTACTCGCCGAAGCTTTCGAATCGCTGGGTGGACGATGAGCTGGGGACAACAGGCTGGCTGCTCACACCAGCGCGGGGCTTGAACTAACACAGTTCAGATGTTAAGACAGTGGGATATACCCACTGTGCCACCGCTCCCCTGAGCCACAGCCCCTCCCTGAGGCATGCAGGAGAGTTTTTGAACCCTTCCTATACCCGCTGATTCATCCCAGCTAACAACCTTCCCCCCACCCAGAGCCAATTTCCACCCCCCCACACCCATCCCCGGGCTGAGTCTGGTTTCCATTTTAGAGCCTAGCTGGAGGGAAATGACTCAAGATTTCTTTTCAAAGGATTTCCTCCAGGTGACCAGACACGGAAAGCTGGTTAATTGCTGTTTTCAAACCACAGGTGACTAGTGTGACTTAACTATGGCAGATGGGGATCATAACCCTTGTTTGCAGGCTAGTGGCTGGGATGGACACGCGAGGGTCTGATCAGCTTCGCTCCCGTCTCTTGCAGCGCATGCAGTCGAGTTTGCTGGAGACCATTTACCGAAACCTGCCCAACCTGGAGACTATCTTCAGTATCATAGACACGGACCATTCAGGTAAATGCACTGGTTTCCTACGGCAGCGGCTGTCGGCGTTTTTAGCGTCGGACCCGGTTCTAAATTGATGGTACTTTTCAGCACCCACTGGCCAAGTAACCAGGCGCCACTTTGCCCTTGACTCTCACATCCATTCACCCGACAAGTTGATCTTCTGTACTCAGCGCTGGTGACTAAGAGAGCATTTCTGAGCAGCAGGCTGAATTCCAGGGCTTTTTCTCACACTGGGAGCGGAAAGCACCGTCAAGTCTCAGCTAGGATGCCAAGAGAAGCTCTAGGCAGGCCCGTGGCCAGGATTTTGGGGCTTGTGGGGCAATTTCCCCCCTCGGTGGGGCTGAAGTTCTCAGTGCAGACAGAAAAGCCAGAGTTCTGAGGATTATGACTCGGCTACTCCTCTCTCCGAGTCTTCTCAAGCGGTCTGTTCTACATAGGGGTTCTTATGCTAGCAATCGCCCTTAGCCTATTGACCATTTAGCCAAAGGAAGGGTGTTACCAGGATGGATCTCTAAACTGCAAGCTGCCAACCACTTTAGGTGACGGTTTGCAGCTGCTGCAAGTTAATCACTTCTGCCAGCCTAAGCAGCAATAACAAGCCGGCGGGTGGGGGTGAGGACTTCTAGGGTCAAGAAAGCGAACAGGCAGAAAAACTCCCTTAAAGGAGCCCATTTCTTGACACAGAGTTAGAAGGGATCCTAGGGGTCACCTACTCCAACCCCCTTGCTCAGTGCGGGAATTAGTCAACAGCAGCACCCCACTCTGCTTAAAGGAGTGCACGCCTTTAAAAAATGTTTTTTACATGATTGAAAAAAGGCATTTACAGGAGAAATTCTTGTTGGGCGTTGCCTTTAAGAAAGGGGGCAGAGCCTCCCAAAGCCCCACCATAGCTACAGGCCTGGCTTTAAGGAACAAGGATAAGGAAATTCTTCATTCTCCGAAGACCAGCCTTGGTGCCCTTTTTGTTGGGAACTATGCAGATGCAGTCTGGCAGAAGGCCAGCATTTGACGAGAGGCTCTGTATATAATTGTATTCCGCAGATGGTGGTGGTGGAAACTGTCTTCCAATTGCAACTGACTTACAGCAACCTCATGGGGTTTCCGAGGGAAGCCATGTTCAGGGGCTGTTGAAATGGCCTACAAAGAATGAACTTCCTTCTCCTTCCTTAAACCTTCTCCTGCCATCGTCGTTTCAGAGTCTGCAGTGGAACAGCTAGATTTGAATCTAGTAGCACCTTAGAGAGCAGTGACATTTTTGGGATATGAACTTTTGAGACTCAACGCTCCCTTTGTCAGACGCAACTAGGGACAGAGAACCCCGAGTCCTCATATCCCAGTCTGAAAGTGAATCTCTCTCCTGGCTCCGTTCTTTGCAACACCCTTCCTGCCTTGAGTCTGGAATATAAAGACTCAAGGATCTCCGTTGCTACTTCTATCTGACGGAGGGACATTTGACTCTCCATCGCTCATGCCCCAGAAATCTCCTCTGCGGTACTCCCGTGCTCAAATCTAGCTGTTCTTGGCCTCGTGTTTAATCAAAAGTAATTTTTTCACCTGGATTACACTTTGTCTGCCACTTGCCACCAAATCACCCGTTGAAACATAGTCTGATTGATGACAAACTGAAGAGCCAGCGTGGTGAAGGGGGCTAGTGTGTCTACCAGGGATACTGGTCTAGTCATACTGGGCCATCCTATAACGATTGCCATCCGCACTTTGCTAATTGTACTAAATCTGCACTTTATATATTGTTGGGATTTTATCTATTTTTATTGTACTTTTAATTATTGTACGCCGCCTTGAGCCTGCTTGTCAGGCAAGGTGGGATATAAATAGAAATAAATAAATGAATAAAATTCAAACCTATGCCCCTCCAATCATACAACACAATCATTTCTGCCTAGTGGTTCGCGCTTTCCCTAACCCCACCCGTAAATCACTGTTACGTTATCTCTAAAGCATTGCAAGCAGAGATGCATGTCTTAGGAGAGTTACTCTCCCCGCTACAATAGAGCTGTTCACACACTCGGGCACATGCACACCCCTCCCGTAGGAATTTCCCTCCCCCAAAATTTATGGCAAACTAGAAATTGAGTTTGACACTTCTTTGTGTCCTTCTGGATTATGCTGCGAGAGAGTAGGGGGAAACCCCCCCCCCAATTGGGAAACCCCCAAGAGCACTTCGGTCGGGGACCCAGAGCTGGTTGGTGGTTCCGGGTCCCCGGGAGGTAAAACTTGCGTTGACCAGGGCTAGATCCTTTTCAGTGGCGGCCCCTACCTGGTGGAATGAGCTCCCGGAGGAGATCAGGGCCCTGCGGGACCTTGTGCAGTTCCGCAGGGCCTGTAAGACGGAGCTCTTCCACCAGGCTTTCACGTAGGGGCCGCCGCTATCACCACCACCAACGGTGGAAATTCCAACTGGACTTGGATCACCCTGGGATGTATAGCTTGCCCTGCGTGACACCAACATCTACTGGAGAGTGGCACCCCAACGGGACTGACTGAAGATCAGAGACGCCATCTTGACCAAAGACCATCTTGTTAAGAAGCACTTATTTATTTACTGTTATTTATAATTGATGCTGTTTTATTGTTTTATGGATTTTATGTATGGGCTGTAGCCCTCTGGAAGCAGCCCTGTGCCCGCTTGCGGGGAGGGTGGGGTAAAAATGCTTAAATAAAAAAATAAAATATAAAAAAAATCCCAGACTAGGATACCCAGGTTCAAAGCCACACTCTGGCATGGAAGCTTGCTGTTGGTGACCTTGGACAAGTCACACACTCTCAGCCTGGCCCACCATCACAAGGTCAGAATTCCAAGTGGCCCACAGGCTCACAAAGGCTGGGGACCCTTGCAGAAGGGTATAACTCTACTTATCGCTCTGCCCCCGGCAGGATTAATCTCTTTCGAAGAGTTCCACCAGATCTGGAAGCTGTTCAGCACCCACATGCACATCGATATCTCAGACAGCAGCATCTGCGACTTGGCCCGCAGCATCGATTTCAACAAGGACGGGAACATCGACTTCAACGAGTTCCTCGAAGCCTTCCGCATCACCAAATGGAACATGGACTAAGACCGCCGCCACAAGGCCCACCCGGTCAAAGAAGTCACCTTCGGGACCTCTTCTAAACTAGACCAATTTTTTTTTTTTTAACCCAAGAATGTGCCTCTGACCTGGACGAAAAGACCAAGCCGGCCGCTGCAAAACACAGGGCAATGGCCGGCCGGCCGCTGATTAATACTGCTATTCCGTACTGGTCTCTTGGCACCTGTTTTTTCAACGTTGGCTTTCGATGTGAGAAAGTTAACATCCCTTCTTTGTAAACCTAATGCGAGGGCTTTGGCGTTGGGTCTGCGTTCCCCTTTAACGTCTTCAGTTTTAAAACATGCTGAAGAATAAATCGAGATTTATGAAATGCTTCTCTTTGTTGGAGGTCTTTTGTCCTAAGTCCAAGATGACAACTTAACAGGAATCGCCTTTTATTAAACTGGCAATGCTAGAAAATCTGGCTGTGAATATTCCAGTAGCCAGGCAAATGCAGCTATGGCAAGGGACACATGAAGCTGCCTTATACTGAATCAGTCCCTTGGTCCATCTTCTCCGATTGGCAGCGGCTTTCCAGGGTCTCAGGCTGAAGTCTTTCCCATCATGTACAACCTGATCCTTAACTAGACATGCCGGGGATTGAACCTGGGACCTTCTGCAAGCCAAGCAGAGCCTCTACTGCTTGAGCCACAGCTTCCTCCCTACCCACAGATGCTAACTTGGTTCATAAGTTGTGACTGCTGCACGCTCATGACTGTGTGCATGGGGGCGGGGAGAAACAGCTCAGTTCCAACAGTGTATAAATCCTTTATTTAGATCAACCTTGGCGGGAATTACAACATGAGATTACTGAACCTGAGTTCATTCAGGAGTTCAGAACAATGGACCTCCCCAGGGCTGAATAGGGACCCAGGTTTCTTGTCTCACTCCAGATGCTAATTTTCAGTCTCCAAACATTTCCCCTCTGCTCTAATCAAGCGGATTATGATGGGCATTGATTCAGGTGGGCAGCCAATGGTGTAGGAACGGTAATGGTTAACACAACATACAAATTCAAACACAGATCCATTCCACTTATGCACGAAGGCAGGAAAAGCAGCCCATCAGGATTGGTATTGTCTAGTTAGATTTGCGGCAGCTCTCCAGGGTTTCAGGCAGAGGTCATTTGCTTTACACCAGCTTCCTGATCCTTAACTGCCAGGGATTGAACCTGGGACCTTTTGCATGCCAAGCCGATGCTCTAGCCTTCCAGCCCCTCCCCAACATGTGATTAGGGCTTTTCTTCCCATTCAAGAAAGCTCTGGTGTCAGTGGAAAGCTCTCTTCCCCAGACAGAAGTACTGCCACAATCCAAACAGATTGCATGGACTCAACAATCTTCACTTAGCAACCATCATTAGCTTGGTTGCCTCTCTGTCTGGACGCACCATGAGAAATCTCCTACCTTTGAGCCCTCCACAAATGACAATACTCACCCAGCTCTACCTCTTATTGACCGGTAGCGGGAATTCCGGTCTTGGCCTCCTGCCTGGAGGCAGTGGTGGAATGGCTAGGTGAGAGCTGGATGACGCTAAATCCATCTAAGACAGAGATACTGTGGCTGGGGAAACCCAGACTGCTGGGGTGGACACCTCTACCAACCCTTGATGGGGCCTGCCTTTCTTTGGTTGACTCCCATCCAAGGACTTGCCGGAGTCGGCCCCACTTAGCTTCTGAGACCGGATGAGATTGGGCTTGCCTGGGCTATCCAGCTCAGGGCACTGTTTTCTATTTCAAAGATTATTTATTGTATCTTTGTATTGTTTTCATTGGTATATTTTATAAGCCTTTGGGGATCCCTAGCCTAGCAATACATAACGGTTTGGGTTCTGTGCCCCACTGCATCACTTCTGTGAAGCCAACGGCTGCCGCTTCCGGTGCAGGAGTTCACAACCCTAGACTCCCCTCTAGTCTAGGTGACGTGGCATCTGAGGAAGAGGAGGAGAGGCAGCTGCTGAAATCCTGCTTCGGAGGAAACCGGGAGGTCCTTCTTCACCCAAAGAATCATTAAGAACATAAGAACATAAGAGACGCCAATGTTGGATCAGGCCAAAGGCCCATCCAGTCCAACACTCTGTGTCACACAGTGGCCAGAAATACCAGTGCCATCAGGAGGTCCAGCAGTGGGGCCAGGACATTAGAAGCCCTCCCACTGTTGACCCCCCCAAGCACCAAGAAGACAGAGCATCACTTGCCCCAGAGCCCCTAGCTATACCTTGTGGCTAATAGCCACTGATGGACCTCTGCTCCATATGCTTATCTAATTCCCTTTTGAAGCCGTCCATGCTTGTAGCACCCACCACTTCCTGTGGCAGTGAATTCCATGTGTTAATCACTCTTTGGGTGAAGAAGTACTTCCTTCTATCCATTCTAACCGGCTGATCTGTTTTCAATACCCTTCCTAATAATCCCCAGCATAGCATTGGCCTTCTTTATTGCAGTCACACACTGTCTCGACATTTTCAGTGAGTTATCTACTACAACTCCAAGATCTCTCTCTTGCTCAGTCTCTGCCAGTTCAGACCCCATCAATGTGTATTTATATTTAGGATTTTTGGCTCCAATGTGCATCACCTTGCACTTGGCCACATTGAACCCCATTTGCCATGTTGACGCCCACTCGCCCATCCTTGACAGATCCCCTTGGAGTGCCTCACAATCCTCACTGGTTTTCACCACCTTGAACAACTTTGTATCATCCGCAAATTTAGCCACTTCACTGCTTACTCCCAACTCCAAATCATAAATGAATAAGTTAAAAAGCAGTGGACCAAGTACTGATCCCTGCAGTACCCCACTGCTTACCACCCTCCACTGAGAAAATTGCCCACCTACACTCACTCTCTGTTTTCTATGAACTAGCCAGTTTTTGATCCATAAAAGGACAGGTGGAATTCACTGCTGCAGGAAATGGTGGCGGCTACAAGCAGGGACGGCTTCAAGAAGGGCACTGGATAAATGTATGGCGCAGAGGTCCATCAGTGGCTATCAGCCACAAGGTATAAGTGGCTCAAGTGGTTAAGATGCTGAGCTGCGGACCGGAAGGTCGGTAGTTCGGCGGTTCGAGACCCGAGTGCCGCGTGACGGAGTGACCTCCCATCTCTGGTCCCGGCTCCTGCCAACCTAGCAGTTCGAAAGCAAGGAATTGCACGTCGATAAATAGGTACCGCTTCGGTGGGAAGGTAACAGCGTTTTGTGCGCCTCGGCATTTAGTCATGCCGGTCACACGACCACCGAGAAGTCTTTCGACAGTGCTGGCTCTTCGGCTTGGAAACGGAGATGAGCACCGCATTCCTAGAGTCGGATTTGACTGGCTTTTGAGCAAGGGAAACCTTTACCTATAAATGGAACACTCTGTCTGGGGCAGTGTTGTTCTGCATTGTTGCTGCTTGGGGGGGCCACAGTGGGAGGGCTTCTGGAGTTCTGGCCCCACTGGTGGACCTCCTGATGGCCCCTGGGTTTGGGCCACTGTGTGACACAGAGTGTTGGACTGGATGGACCATTGGCCTGATCCAACGTGGCTCCTCTTATGTTCCAGAACAAAGACTGAGGTCACCGAAAGGTATTCACAGAACCAAGTGATCCGCTAAAGACAGCACGCAAGACCAAAGTGGAAGGAGACGTCTGGCTTTATTACATCCTAGGAGCTTTGCAAATTATGATTAAGTAAAGTGATATAAAAATATAGCCTTCAGGTTCTGATCAACAAAAAAATCCTCAAACTTCACCTCACGCACCAGAGCTTCAGACCCAGAAATGGCCATAGGGATCACGGCACACAAGCCAGCCCAGGAGCTCTATTTTATTCAGTTTGTCTAGACCGAAGGGAAGGGCTTTGTTATGCACATTATGCAGCAGTTCTTTTATGCAGCAGTTCTTCTGTGTGGTGTATGTAGTGTGTGTGTGTGTGGGGGGGGATGTACGGCTTCCTAATCAAGACTTCCAAGTCTGAAAGTTTTTTTGTTTTTGTTTTTTTACACAACTGGTGCTGCAGAAATGCAAACTTTAGATCACAACTTCCAAATTCCTCCCCCGCCCCTTAAAATCAGTTTTGTAAACCTAAAATCTGATTTGAAGCTGAAAAAAACTTGGGGGGGGGGGAACGCCACTAGTACTGGATCTCTCTCAGGATTTCCCCTTAGGTTTATTGACACAACACCCCTCCCAAGCTTTAGGCATGGGGAACAAAGCAATGTGTTTCGTAGGCCTCCAGAGACGGGGAACGGTCCCATCAACTGAAGACCCCGCCTCTGATAGGAATGCTCTCGTTCAACCCGTGTTCTATCAGCTTTATATCTTCCAGGTCATCTTTGATGATGCTGATCAGGTGACTCAGACCTTCTTGTTGTTGCTTCAGATGCTGGAAAAGAATACGGGGAGGTTAGCGAAACTCTTGAGGAAGGGCTTCTTTCCCAAAGGGTGACCCTCCCAAGCCAGGTCTTGTACCGACTTCTCGGCCACAAGCAGCACCTAATTTGTAAAATGTTCAGATATGCCAGGAGCGAACGTCCTCTGCCCTCTGATTCTTGCCCCACAGTCTCAGAGGCTCATGCTCAAAGGCTCTCCTTTGTACTGGCAAGCTATAAAGGGAAGGTTTAAAGCTGGAAGGGCAAAGCCACCATGAACCGAGCCCCAAGTTGCCTCCCGAAGACATGCCTGAAGGCCATTATTGTTCAATTTGGCTGCAAGTTACAAGGACGATTTGTCAGCTCGGTTTGACTGCAAGCTACAACAAGCACAAAGGTCACGTTTGGTCACAGCCTGAAGAAGATTTTGGAACAGGATATTAGCCGGCATTCATGTACGGCTTGCTGTGGAGTTTTTTTGTGTACGAACGTTTGTTTTTGTGCATCACTGCTGATGTCTGTGCATTGCTATTTATGCCCTTGTACAATTTCTGCTTTCATGTACATGTGTTGCAATCAATCATGATTACATAAATGTTCTTAACCTCTGGTGCTTGGCACATTTTTTCCCTCTTCTCTGTTCAGAGGTTTCTCCTCCTTTTTTTTTTTGTGTTTACCCCATCACCGTCATCACAGGTGTTAAAAGTAGGTTAAGAAGTTAATACTTGTATGATGTATTATTCCTTTACAAAATTTCTACCCAGCCTTTCTGCTAGGGTTGCCCAGTCCAGGTTGTGAAATTCCTGGAGATTTGGGGGGTGGAGCCTGGGGAGGGCGGGGACCTCAACTGGGTGTGATGTCACAGAGTCCCCCTTCCAAAGCAGCCCCCTTTGCTTTGTGGAAACTTTTCTGTGTTGTCTGGAGTTCAGCTGTGAATCTGGGAGATCGCTGGGCCCCACCCAGAGGTTAGATCAATGTTGTGCTTTTTATTTTTAATTTTTTTTCTATACTATTATATAAATATTTGTGTCAAGTATTACCCAACAAAGGTTCACCAAAGGAATACATCAAAGTGCAGGTTGACACTACATTCAGACATTCAAACAGCACCTTGTCAGTTTCACAATCATTAATCCCAGGGGACTCTAGCAATTTACCCGTATCGAATACAATCTTTTTCAAGGACGGTGATATACATACAAGACATAAGGTGCCATAAATTCCCTTTGTGAGTATAAAACTTAAAATAGCAGCATTTTTCTAGGGTCCTATCCAATGTTCCCTCTAAGCTGTGGAGTCTTTTGAGCAAAAATTCTACTTTGTGAGCTACTGGCACTAAAGTTGTGAGCGAGCGAGCGATTTGGCTACTGCATAAATTAAGTCTGCTCTGGAGCCCTCCTTCCTGAGCTAAGACAAAAATGTGTGAGCTGGAGGCTAAGAAACTGTGAGCTAGCTCACACAAAACTCATCTTAGAGGGAACCCTAGTCCGATTGGAACTCTTGTGGCAAACATAATACCTTATCTAGGAGAACATATCTCTCAAGTTCTATCAGGCATTTAAAATATACCTTTCAAACTTTCCCCCCCTGTTTGCACTCCTGCAATTCTTTATTAGAGTTTCTACTCCCCTTCTTGAGGTAGCCTGGAACTCTCTCTTACACACACACACATATGAAGGGGAAACCAAAACGGCAACTTGTCTGCCAAACGCCGATACTCAC